TGCTAGTATTCCAGGCATGAGCCACTGCGCCCGGCAGTTTTTGTATTTTTAGTAGAGACAGAGTTTCACCATGTTGGCCAGGCTGGTCTCAAACTCCTGACAGATCAAGTGATCCACCTGCCTCGGACTTCTAAGTAGCTGGGACTGCAGACACAGACGTGCACCAGCATGCCTGGCTAAGTTTTTGTGTTGTTGGTAGAGATGGGGTTTCGCCACGTTGACCAGGCTGGTCTCAAACTCCTGAGCTCAAGTGATCCACCACCTCAGCCTCCCAGAGTTCTGTGAGTACAGGCATGAGCCACTGCACCCAGCCTCTGGCTGGGCTTTGGTAAGGGCTAGGTTTTATATTTTTAAAACCTGAAGGGGAGCTCATTCCGTCCCAGCTCCCCACTGATGCAGTGTGTGTGTGGGCTTTTCCAGGAGGGAAGCGGGTTCTGAAGAAAGGGGTCAAAAAATCACTTAGTTTTCTTGTAGTTTATCATCCCTGGTGCAGTGGGCAGCAGAGGGAACCGTATTTCCTCAGGGTCTCCTTTATATGTGTCGTTGTGTTCCGGGGGGCGGGGTGTTGATTCTGAGCAGTAAACAGCATATTTTTAACATTCAGGACTGACTTCTAATGACTTGATACGTGAGGAAGAACCCCGGAAGAGGAAGAGGAAAGCAAAGGAGTCAGGGATGGCTCTTCCTCAGGTGAGATGATCTTCTCGGTGGATTGTTCTGTCTCCTTCCTTTCAGAAATGCTGGGCCTTGAAGTTGGGAATCTTCTCTGAGTCTGAAGCATCCTGCCTGCCAGGTTTGCTGGCACTCACCCATGCCTTCCCTCAGTCCCTCTCATGTCAACTAGATTCCATCCCTTGGTGCCCCAGTGACAGGAGCATGGGAAGAGGCTGCACTGGGCATGGTCCTGGGAAGGGCTCACCCCAGACATGGATGGAGACAGGGTGTGGGCTCTGTCGTGTCAGGGCTGCTGGGCAGCAGGGATTGTTCAGGGGCCACATCTGATGCACCATCAGCTCCCTGTAGACCAGGAGCAGAGCAGCTGCCCGTGGACACTACATATTAATGTGCACAAAGTATGTGGGAAATTCTAGGAAAGGAGACCAATGAGGGGAGGTCTTTTCTGCCTGATTTAGTGCTACATGTTGAGATAATTGAGTGAGTTCCTGTGTTTATGATTCCAAACATCTAACTAATTGAAATGGAAAGTTCATACACAGACATGAATGATACAAGGTGTTTTATTCCATCTTTTTTTTTTTTTTAGACGGAGTTTCGCTCTTGTTACCCAGGCTGGAGTGCAATGGCGCGATCTCGGCTCACTGCAACCTCCGCCTCCTGGGTTCAGGCAATTCTCCTGCCTCAGCCTCCCGAGTAGCTGGGACTGCAGGCACACGCCACCACGTCCAGCTAATTTTTGTATTTTTAGTAGAGACGGGGTTTCACCATGTTGACCAGGATGGTCTCGATCTCTTGATCTCGTGATCCACCCGCCTTGGCCTCCCAAAGTGCTGGGATTATAGGTGTGAGCCACAGAGCCCGGCCGCTCATCCTTCTTTTAAGCATATGAAACCAACCTAAATAATAGCAGGAGATTCATGAAACCATTCTTTGCTCGTTAAGCTCATGGAGACTGTGGTGTTACTGTGGAGAGGCTTGTGACAGGCGTTTTTGGTGTAAATGCTTATGAGTTCTCCCAAATATGGGAGCAGTACTTCTTTTTTACCCTAAAGGATGGAGCCATATTCTCATTCCACCTATCATCATCATCTTAATAATTCATTACTTGAGATGGGGTCTCCCTGTGTCGCCCAGACTGGAGTGTAGTGGCATGAGCTCAGCTCACTGCAACCTCCGCCTTCCAGGGTCAAGCGATTTTTCTGCCTCGGCCTCGCATGTAGCTGGGGTTATATGCGTTAGCCACCACAGCTGGCCGGTTTTTTAATATTTTTAGTAGAGATGGGATTTCACCGTGTTGGCCAGGCGGGTCTCCAACTTCTGACCTCATGTGATCCACCCACCTCAGCCTACCAGAGTGTTGGGATTACAGGTACAAGCCACCATGCCCAGCCCCACAAATTATTATTAAACACACATTTTTATATTTAAACACCACGTGATGTACGTATTTGTTTTGTGGTAAAGCTCCAAGCAAAGCTGCAGCTGAGCCCCTTGGCCATAAAGCTCCTCCTTCCCCTCCACCCTCCTTCCAGCCTCACTGGGGAGACACTAAGGTTAGTTCTGTGTCAGGTGTCTTTGCAAGTCACGTACATGTGTATTTCTGTATCGTTATGAGACTCTAGAAAAAATACTGCAGTAAATTAAAAAAATTTAATATTCTTTTACCTGAGGTTTGGGTCTACATGTGAGAGTTGTTACAGAAGTAATCTCACGTCGTCAGGGTTTGTTGTACAGATTCTTTTATCACTTTGCTATTAAGGCCAGTACCCAATAGTCATTTATTTATATAGTTATTGTTAATTGTACTTTACGTTCTGGGGTACATGTGCAGAACAAGCAGGTTTCTTAAAAAGGTATCCATGTGCCATGGTGCTTTCCTGCATCCATCATCTACATTAGGTATTTCTCCTAATGCTCTCCCTCCCCTATCCCCCCAGCCCGACAGGCCCCAGTGTGTGATGTTTCCCTCCCTGTGTCCGTATGTTCTCATTGTTCAACTTCCACTTTTGAGTGAGAACATGTGGTAATTGGTTTTCAGTTCGTGGGTTAGTTTGTTCAGAAAGATGGTTTCCAGCTTCATCCATGTCCCTGGAAAGGACAGGAACTCATCCTTTTTTTATGGCTGCATAGTATTCCATGGTGCATCTGTGCCACATTTTCTTTATCCAGTCTATCACTGATGGGCATTTGTGTTGGTTCCAAGTCTTTGCTATTGTGAACAGTGGCTCAGTAAATGTACGTGTGCATGTGTCTCTTTTTTTTTTTTTTTTCTGAGATGAAGTTTTGCTATTGTTACCCAGGCTGGAGTGCAATGGCGCAATCTCGGCTCACCGCAACCTCTGCCTTCTGGGTTCAAGCAATTCTCCTGCCTCAGCCTCCTGAGTAGCTGGGACTATAGGCGCGCACCACTAATTTTTGTATTTTTAGTAAGAGACAGGGTTTCACCTTGTTGACCAGAATGGTCTCGATCTCTTGACCTCGTGATCCACCCTCTTGGCCTCCCAAAGTGCTGGGATTGCAGGCGTGAGCCACCGCGCCCGGCCTTTTTTTTTTTTTTTTTTTTTCTTTAAGATGGGGTTTCACCATGTTGGACAGGCTGGTCTTGAACTCCTGACCTCAGGTGATCTGCCTGTGTTGGCCTCCAAAGTGCTTGGATTACAGGCGTGAGCCACTGAGACTGGCCCATTAACATCTAGTTTTTTTGTGAGTCTGTGTAGGTTGTTATTATTTTTTGGGCACATATATACAAAATGGATTTTCACACTTTGAGTAATTTTGTTTTCATTTATTCTGTTCTGAGACAGGCTCTGGCTCTGTTGCACAGGCCGGAGCACAGCGGCGTGATCTGAGGCAGTCTTAGCTCATTGCAACCTCTACCCTCAGGTCAGCCATCCTCCAACCTCAGCCTCCCAAGTAGCTGGGACCACAGGTGCGTGCCACCATGCCCGGCTAATTTTGTTTTTTTGTGAGTGTGTGTAGGTTTTATTTTGTGATCATATATATACAAAACAGATTTTTGGCCAGGCGCGGTGGCTCATGCCTGTAGTCTCCCAGCACTTTCAGAGGCCGAGGTGGATGGATCACCTGAGGTTGGGAGTTCAAGACCAGCCTGACCAAAATGGAGAAACCCTGTCTCCACTAAAAGTATCAAAAATTAGCCAGGCATGGCATTGCATACCTGGAATTCCAGCTACTGAGGAGGCTGAGGCAGGAGAATCACTTGAACCCAGGAGGTGGAGGTGGCTGTGAGCCAAGATGGCGCCATTGCACTGCAGCCTGAGCACCAAGAGCAAAACTGTCTCAAATAATAGTAACAATTAACTAATTAAAAACAAAATGGATTTTCATACTTTGAAAGGTTTTGTTTTGAGAGCAGGTCTGGGTTTGTTGCCCAGGCTGGAGACCAGTGGCACAGCTTAGATCATAGCAACCTTCACCCTCGAGCTGAAGCCATCTTCCAAGTCGCTGGGACCACACGTGCTACCACCATGCTTGGCTAACTTTTTTTTTTTTTTTTTTTTGAGGCAGAGTCTCTGTTGCCCAGGCTGGAGTGCAGTGGTGCAATCTCAGGTCACTGAAACCTTTGCCTCTTGGGATCAAGCATTTCTCCTGCCTCCACCTCCCGGGTAGCTGGGATTACAGGCATGTATTCCTGTGCCTGGCCGATCTTTCATAGTGGACATTGTCATCTTTGAAGACATTACTCATGCTCTGCCTCATGTAGATACTGAATGTCACTTGGTGTGTCAGTGAACAGTTTCTAATATTTCTATAACAAAAACCCTGAATTGATTTTTTGTTTGTATATTTCTTCTATCATCCATAAACATAAAAATACCGAGAGGGCATCATGACCTCTTCACAAAGTATAATAAACACAACTGGGAAGACATAATGTGGTGAAGAATCCCTTTCTCCATTTGTCAGAACATTCCCTACAATTAAATCCGTACCGTCACCTCTGTCCTCTTCTCATTCTCTGTAAAGATCAGAACTCCTCCCATAACCATGTGGTTAAAATGTGTTTTTATGGCCGGGCACGGTGGCTCACACCTATAATCCCAGCACTTTGGGAGGCTGAGGCGGGTAGATCACGAGGTCAAGACCATCGAGACCATCTTGGTCAACATGGTGAAACCCCATCTTACTAAAAATACAAAAATTAGCTGGGCATAGTGGCGCACGCCTGTAGTCCCAGCTACTCGGGAGGCTGAGACAGAATTGCTTGAACCCAGGAGGCAGAGGTTGCGGTGAGCCGAGATCGCGCCATTGCACTCCAGTCTGGGTAACAAGAGTGAAACTCCATCTCAAAAAATAAAAATATGTTTTTATTTCAGGGTTTATTGACATTCAGGGATGTGGCCATAGAATTCTCTCAGGAGGAGTGGAGATGCCTGGACCCTGCTCAGAGGACTTTATACAGGGACGTGATGTTGGAGAACTACAGGAACCTGGTCTCCCTGGGTGAGTCCAGCTTCCCCTGGAAGTGGGGACGTGCCCTTGCGTATGTTTGTATTTTCCCTTGTTGCCTCCTGGGAGCCGCATCCTTGCTTCAGAGTGGGAAATCGGAGACCTGGAGGGGCCGGTGGGGTTGCAGGAGGATTTTATTTAATGTGATCATGGGCTCAACAGCATTGCTTCCTAATTCGGAGCAAAGGACAAAGAAAATGAGGTCCCTTTTATGCTCTTATATGGTACAGGAAGCAGGTTTACAGAAGCTAGAACAAAGAACAGTTATCAACAAGTGGCATGTCTTGTGATGCAGTTCACGTTTGAGAAGTAACCCTTTGAGAAGCACATTCTGCAGTTTTGAGCTTATCTGCTCTGTGACCTTGCAGCTGGTCAGTAAGAAAAAGAGAAATTTTTAGATGCCTGGGAACTTTGCTAAACGAGGGGACGATAGATAAGCTTAAATGGTTTGCAGGAAGGCAGTTACTATTCTGCCTCAGCGGAGCTGGGGAGGTATCATATTGAATAGGACACAATGCGGCACAATTTACTTTGTTACGTAGCGGCTACAAATTCCGAGGTTTTGTTTTGCCGTCATTGCGAGTGTTTCATTCTCTTCTTTATTCCCCCTTTGTTGCTTTTTATAAATAACACTTTAATAGAAAGCAGCACCACCACTGTACGCATCTAATTACTGTTACCTTTAGAGGTATGCCATTTTTCGTTTGTTTTTCTCTCCTTTTTCCCTTCTTCTTTTTCTTGGTTTAATCTGATTGGTATGTCTTTTTTCTTTTTTTAACAGGGTTTCACCATGTTGGCCAGGCTGGTCTTGAACTCCTGACCTCAGGTGATCCGCCTGCCTCGGCCTCCCAAAGTGCTGAGATTACAGGTGTGAGCCACCACACCCGGCCTCTGATTGGTATTTCTATGAGGCGATTTACTAGATTTATTTAAGTATATGTAATACCTTGTGGCTCAGTGTCGCGGAAGGGTTAATCAAGTGTATTGTAGATCGTTTTCAGGAAAGTCTTTAAGATTGCCTTTATTCCTTGACTTGATTGACAGTAGGCTGGGGTGTTAGCTCATGGTGAATGTGTAGCATTGAGTTAGATCCTTTTAGATCAGAAGCTCCTTTCCTGCCATGAAAGGCACAAAATTAACTCCACCTTACCTTAGCTCCTGATGGCCCCTTCTCGACTGTGCCTGTCTTAGGTTGCTGCTCCTCAGGATTCTTACCCGTCTCTGGCTAATCAGCCATCTGCTGGAGGCCAATCAATCAGAGTGATGGTTTGAAGGTTGGAAGGCTCTTGAGGGCAGACCCACAGAGCACTGTGGGTCCAGGAACAGCGCTATTACCCACTTTAAGTGGCTACCCTGTCAAGTTGCCTGCTCGGAAAGATGGTATTATTAAGGCTTTTGGGGCTCTTAACATAATATTTGCTTTCTTTGAGTTTGTTCCATGCAGACGTGCGCTAACAGTTGGGTTAGCTAAATGATCACACCTTACATAGGCCCACAGAAAGCACCGCTATCATACCTGTCATTTTGAGGTGGTTCTGTTTATTTTGGGGTACAGGCTGGTACTTAGTAAATGCCATTAATTGACTGGTGGTTTGCTTGGCTACTCTTGCTTCTATAATTGACTGAATACTTTCAGTTAGGAGGGGTAGGAGGCAAGGAAGTATTACTGATCCTCCTCATCAAGGTTACTCCCCCTCCTCCTCTGAAGGTTGTAAAACCTCTGGATATAAAAGTCATTCTCTGAGGAGGGAATCTAGTGACCACCCTTACCATCTCCGAACTGGAACGTGAGCCGATTTTCACATCCTGGTTGTCATTTCCATGACTACTTGTCCGTTATCAATTTCTTTTTAAAATTTATTTTATTTATTTTTTAAAATTATACTTTCAGTTCTGGGATACATGTACAGAATGTGCAGGTTTGTTACATAGGTATAGACGTGCCATGGTGGTTTGCTGCCTCCATCACCCTGTCGTCGACATTAGGTAACTCTTCTAATGCTGTCCCTCCCATATCCCCCCCACCCGACCATCTCTTCCCTAACCCCCCACCTCCTGACAGGCCCTGGTGTGTGATGGTCCCCTCCTTGTGTCCATGTGTTCTCATTGTTGCACATGCACTTTCGAGTGAGAACATGGCAGTGTTTGCTTTTCTGTTCTTGTGTCAGTTTGCTGTGAATGATGGTTCATGGCTTCATCCATGTCCTTGTAAAGGACATGAACGCATCCTTTTTTATGACTGCATAGTATTCCATGGTGCATGTGTGCCACGTTTTCTTTATCTAGTCTATCACTGATGGGCATTAGGGTTAGTTCCAAGTCTTTGCTATTGTGAACAGTGCTGCAATAAACGTACATGTGCATGTGTCTTTATAATAGAGTGATTTATAATTTGGGGGGTATATGGCCAGTAATGGGATGGCTGGGTTAAACGGTATTTCTAATTCTAGATTCTTGAGGAACCACCACACTGTCTTCCACAATGGTTGAACTAATTTACACTCCCACCAGCAGTGTAAAAGTGTTCCTATTTCCCCACATCCTCTCCAGCATCTGTTGTCTCCTGATTTTTTTTTTTTTTTTTCCCTTGACGGAGTTTCCTCTTGTTACCCAGGCTGCAGTGCAATGGCGCGATCTCGGCTCACCGCAACCTCCGCCTCCTGGGTTCAAGCAATTCTCCTGCCTCAGCCTCCCGAGTAGCTGGGCCTACAGGCACACGCCACCATGCCCAGCTAATTTTTTGTATTTTTAGTAGAGACGGGGTTTCACCATGTTGACCAGGATGGTCTCGATCTCTTGACCTCGTGATCCACCTGCCTCGGTCTCCCAAAGTGCTGGGATTACAGGCGTGAGCCACCGCGCCCGGGCCGTCTCCTGATTTTTTTAAAGTTTGCCATTGTAACTGGTGTGAGATGGTATCTCATTGTGGTTTTGATTTGCATTTTTCTAATGAAAAACGATGATGAGCTTCTTTTCATATGTTTGTTGGCTGCATAAATATTTTCTTTTGAAAAGTGTCTGTTCAGCCGGGCGCGGTGGCTCACGCCTGTAATCCCAGCACTTTGGGAGGCTGAGGCAGGTGGATCACAAGGTCAAGAGATCGAGACCATCCTGGTCAACAAGATGAAACCCCGTCTCTACTAAAAATACAAAAATTAGCTGGGCATGGTGGTACACGCCTGTAGTCCCAGCTACTCGGGAGGCTGAGGCAGGTGAATTGCTTGAACCCAGAAGGCGGAGGTTGCAGTGAGCCGAGATCGTGCCATTGCACTCCAGCCTGGGTAACAACAGTGAAACTCCGCCTCAAAAAAAAAAAAAAAAAAGTGTCTGTCCATATCCTTTGCCCACTTTTTGATGGGGTTGTTTTTTTCTTGAAAATTTGTTTAAGTTCCTTGTAGATTCTGGATATTAGCCCTTGTCCAATGAGTAGATTACAAAAAAATTTTCCATTTTGTTGGTTGCCAGTTTATTCTAATGATAATTTCTTTTGCTGTGCAGAAGGTCTTAAGTTTAATTAGATCCCATTTGTCTATCCTGGCTTTTGTTGCCATTGCTTTTGGTGTTTTAGTCATGAAGTCCTTGCCTTTACCTATGTCGTGAATGGTGTTGCCTAGGTTTTCTTCTAGGGTTTTTATGGTGTGAGATCTTATGTTTAAATCTTTCATCCATCTGGAGTTAATTTTTGTATAAGGTGTAAGGAAGCTTTCTGCATATGGCTTGCCAGTTTTCCCAACCCCATTTATTAAATAGGGAATCCTTTCTCTGTTGCTTGTTTTTGTCACGTTTGTCAAAGATCAGATGGTTGCAGGTGTGTGATGTTCTCTGAGCCCTCTGTTCTGTCCCACTGGTCTGTAGCTCTGTTTTGGTACTAGTTCCATGCTGTTTTCATTACTGCAGCCTTCTAGTTGAGTTTGAAGTCAGGTAGTGTGATGCCTCCAGCTTTTTTTTTCTTTTTTTGGTTAGGATTGTCTTAGATATGCGGGCTCTTTTTTGGTTCCATATGAAGTTTAAGGTGGTTTTTTCCAGTTCTGTGAAGAAAGTCAATGGCAGCTTGATGGGGATAGCATTGAATCTGTAAATTACTTTGGGCAGTATGGCCATTTTCACAATATTGATTTTTCATAAACATGAGCATGGAATGACTTTTTTTATCTTTGTCATCTCATTTCCTTGAGCAGTGGTTTGTAGTTCTTCTTGAAAAGCTTCTTTACATCCCTTGTTAGTTGTATTCCTAGGTATTTTATTCTCTTTGTAGCAATTGGGAATGGGAGTTCATTCATAATTTGACTCTCTGTTATTGGTATATGGGAATGCTTGTGATTTTTGCACATTGATTTTGTATCCTGAGACTTTGCTGAAGTTGCTTATCAGCTTAAGATTTTGGGCTGAGACCATAGGGTCTTCTAAATATAAAATCATGTTGTCTGCATATAGAAGAAATTTGACTTACTCTTTTCCTAATTGAATACCTTTATTTCTTTTTCTTGCCTGATTGCCCTGGCCAGAACTTCCAATACTATGTTCAATAGCAGTGGTGAGAGAGGGCATCCTTGCCTTGTGCTGGTTTCCAAAAGGAATGCTTCCGGTTTTTGCCCATTCAGTGTGATATTGACTGTGCGTTTGTCATAAATAGCCCCTATTATTTTGAGACACATTCCATCGATACCTTGTTTATTGAGAGTGTTTAGTATAAAGGGCTGTTGCATTTTGTCAAAGGCCTTCTCTACATCTATTGAGATGATCATGTGCTTTTTGTTTTTGGTTCTGTTTACGTGATAGATTACATTCATTGATGTGCGTATGTTGAACCAGCCTTGCATCCCAGGGATGAAGCTGACTTGATCGTGATGGATAAGCTTTTTGATGTGCTGTTAGATTTGGTTTGCCAGTATTTTATTGAGGATTTTCGTGTTAATGCTCATCATTGATACTGGCGGGAAATCTTACTTAGTTGTGTTTCTGCCAGGTTTTGCTATCAGGATGATGTTGCTCTC